ATAAGTCTTCGGCAACAATGAAGAGGAAGCAACAATGGCTTATAAATGTGATTCCAAATTGGCGATATGCTGCGATAGCGTGCAAGCCATACGCAGCCAATGCGTTATTGCGCATTCTGCAGACGGGTCCCTTGATTCATGGCAGTACTCTTCGCAGGAATGCGGCATGTTCTCAACGTGTATGGTCGCCGAAGGCGTCCCTTCGTCACGACAGAAGTAACGTTTCGCAGAATATGCTTTAGCGGATCGACTGCCTATACAGAGAGTGCAAACTTTTGCTTTCTCGCATAGCGAACCCCTTCGCACCGTCCGCACAGCGGTCTTCGTGGAGGGTCACGAACAGCCCCGGGCCACCTCTACCACCTCCTAAAAGCCCCCTTGTCATGTTTAACTCGTGATTTCATACCCTTTCTCCCGCTGGACGAGACGGGGAGGCTCTATTCGATCCGACACCCGACTACAGGACTCCTCGTGTTGTCTTAAGGTTTTCGAGAAACCACCCCAATCCTCTGTTTTACGACTGAGCACATTGCAGTCTGGTGTGTTTTTGTCTTCTTTAATTACGGCTCACTCTGTACCTGTGGCCCGTGAACTGACTGTACTGTACAGTGAGTGTCGAACTGGAGAGTCACTGCTCACCCGCCCCGCCCGCTAATAACAGTCGCACAAATGTACAAACACAGTGGTGTGATCTTGCGAAAGCCTTTTCATAGCATCCGGAAACAAAAGTGCATCTGATTAAAAGGCTGGGGCCAGTGACGCACGAGCAGCTACCAATCGCGGGCACACTTATTTCATCAGTATTGCGCCAAACAATATTGAGAACAATAAAGAAGCAAACTTAGATAGGCCAATCATCAAATGATACGTTTCCTACAATTGATTGCCAAATAGATAATTAAGCGACTAAAGACAGACAGCAAGTACGTATACAAGACGAATAAAGAGCTGCACGACAGAACACGGATGAATGAGAAGATAAATGAACGGATGCCCGACCGCATGCGCATGACAAAACAATCGTGTTACTGTTGCTGGGCGACACACACGACTGCACGCACGTCAGGGTGTTGTCGATTTAACCAGACACACACACACACATATTTCATGCTCTTTCCTCGTGCTTGCTCTCCTCAAAGAACATTTCTAAATGCCAAACGAGGCCACAGAACAAATGAAGTAATTCATCAATGGTGGCAGGCCTTTAAGGCTATATCAGCACCCCTCAGTATTGTAATTTCAACAGTGTAGTTCTACGATACTTTTTTTCTCTTGTGTCGGCCCTTACCTGCAGAGAGATTAAATGGAGTCGGTACTGGGCGAAGATTTTAGGACCTAATCGGCTTCTGAGAATACGTGTCGCCGCAGGCGCTTTTCCCCTATTACAGCAAGGCATCGCCGGTTCATCCCAGGAAAGGAAATTGGCAGTGGATGCTGCAACATTGCATCATGGAACGCGCACACATCGTCGCCTTTCTCAATCTGTGCTATAGGGCTGGCGGGAGAGTGGATTTTGAACAGTAATCATCAACATTGGGTAAAGCATCGAGCGGCAAGGCGAAAAATAAATACTGCGTGTGACCTTTGGGGCTCTGGCCCGGGCGGGCGGGCGTGGCTCCCAGCGGGCCCAGCCATTATGTCTCCGATTCAAACTGGCTGCTGCTGTTGCCGGCTCCTCAGATTTCGGCAGTTACCATCACCGTCGTTGGCGCCTGAGAGGAGTTCAGCGGAGCCGAGAGAATGAACGCAACTCACTTTCTCATGTCGGTTTGATGTGA